CTAGTTGAGCGGCCTCAGCGAAATTACCGAGGCTCATTACATCGCAGAACTTCACCTGAATAATGTGACATGCGGCGATTCATTTTGCGTAGACGCCGCAGAATGGACGCTAAAGCCTGATTTGCATCACGAGATTCCGCTTGCAATTTCAATCGCAACATCGCTCGGGCTGCAAAAGCGTGAATGGTAGCTGAGCTGCTTGACGTCGATACTGAAAATCGCAAGCAGAATAGGACCAAGTGAACCAGGAATAAAGAGTCAATGATGGCCACTGGTAAAAATGATGAACATCTCCTTATATCTACTGTTTACACTGAGCCTGCTTACCACAACCAACCTACAGACTTAAGTCTTTTGAGACCTGCACTTACTTCTTATCACAATTACCGGCCCAACATTTGGCCAAAGGGCTGGTATCGTCTGAAATGGCAGACGACAAGCAGAAACGTTTGAAAGAGCAGACGACAGTTCGAGCAATCAGGTGGCAGTTTGAACAAGACGCACTGAGCATAGTCCATAGGTGGTCCCATACAACTTAACGGTTTTCCCGCATTAATGTTGGGACAAAACAAATAAATCTGATGACCACAAGTATCCGTTCCATGAATTCAACCCAAAGTGCTTCCCGCTCAAGCAATTGTGGTCCGACGCCATTTGGTTAACCATGTTGAAATAACCTGAGACTGGGGTAGAGAAGAAGCATCAAATCGTAGAAGGGACAGAAAATAGACAGGACGACGTCTCAAACTCAGCTAACTTCATTTATTTTGTCCACCTCCTTATATAGTCCCAAACTCAAGGTCATCTCCACCAACACAGAAGGATGAAGTCTAAACAGTTCAAGCGCCACAGCCTTCGTCAAACAATGCAAGAACGTTGACAACGTTGTTTGACGAAGGCTGTGGCGCTTGAACTGTTTAGACTTCATCCTTCTGTGTTGGTAGAGATGACCTTGAGTTTGGGACGATATAAGGAGGTGGACAAAATAAATGAAGTTAGCCGAGTTTGAGACGTCGTCCTGTCTATTTTCTGTCCCTTCTACGTTTTGATGTTTCTTCTCTACCCCAGTCTCAGGTTATTTCAACATGGTTAATATTCACCAGCTCGCCTGCACCCTTACGATTTTTGCCATTTGGTTTTTTCATTTCACGGCACATATCCACGTCCTTGGATGAACCGAGCACGAGAAAACTGACCTTCAAACCTTTCTTGACTCTTTTGGTACAGCCCCAGTCACGGCGTTTTGACAAGAAGGCAGGTTTTTGTCTGGTTTCTTTCAAAACAATGTAAGAATGCATGTCTCGCATGGTGACTTCCGCCCACAGCCTCAAACTGGAAGTGCTCTCGACGCGTCACCACCGTGCCGTGAATCAACAGAGTAGAGTTTGTGTATATGAATACATCTTATAGCAAGTTTGTAAAGAAGTGCAGAACAAATGTATGGCCGTACAAAATTATTGTAACCAGAGGCGTAACTCCGCCGAGCTCTATATTTTGCATGTTTTGACGACGTTTTTGGCAGTTTTTGAAACAGTGGCAGCCTTTGCACTGCCCTGCGAAGGGTTTGATCGCTTTGGATCACTTCGAACAGCGGTGCTGATGTCTGCAGCCAAACGTTTGTTCTCCAACGACATTGTCGAGACTTCTTTAATACCGAAGTCAAATAAAAGCAATCGTACTCGGCGTCGTCCAACTTTTTAATCAGAGACCCGTCTGCATAAGGAGAGGAAGCGGAAACTGAGCAGAAGCGGCTGAAGAGCCACGCCTTTTTTGCCGTTCAGAAGGCGCTTCGAGAGCTCCAACACGAGTGACTCCATTCAAAGCTGAGAGCCGCAACTGAACGTGCCCATTTTTCACTAAAGGACAGCTTTTGCGTGGTAGGACAGCCCTTGAATGCGGGCCCTGTAAATCGCTGTCGGCCGGTACTATAGACACTTGGGTGACCACCCGTCCTGCGACTAGCGGGACTGTCCCGCATTGAGGGCTCGTGTCCCGCGTCCCGTAAAAAATTTCCCGAATCTTCAAAATGTCCCGAAATTCATACTGTCGTAAAGTTCACTCTGCAACTCATGGTGCTCACGAACAACAAAGCACGGGGAAGCGCGAAGGTCGCTGGTATTGTGTGAATCGCCATGGTACGCCATTTTCTATCCAAGCATTGCGGGAAGCGACCGTCGTTTTTGCAGTAGAACCGACACGCATGCTCCGTTGTGTCACTCCCCTTGGTGGCAAAATATTGTAAAAAAGATTGCTTGCCAAACGTCTAAATATAAGATACTGTAATTATTTTCAAATCGCAGTGTCAATACGAAAGGGTTGCTGTGGATTTTTTTTTTTTTTAGTGAAGACAATTACACAAGGCAGAAAGCCTGCAACTCACAACGGTTGAAAAAGAACATAATGTTAAAAATTTGTGTAGGACCATGTTGATAAACGTAAGCGTTGACAGGAAACAATAAGCCGAAAAAGATTGTTTCTTATTTTTATTTGATGCGTTGAGTTGTTCTCAATGTGCTTGTGTTTGTTTCTCTCTCTTGTGTCCGTCTTTTTTGCGCAAAACCATGTATCCAAAAAATTTCTTCTACAGTCGATGTTGATGTGTTCAACTTTGACACATTTAATAACACATTCAGCATAAAAAACATACCATAGACCCTTTCCGAAATTCAGTGCCATCTGGTGGCTGAAATGGCGGTTTAACTTTTGCCATACGAATGGCGGCAATGAACACGTAGCCTGCAGTATTTTATCGGGCACCGTCACTTTTGCATGTCAACGGCCGACGAGAATAAACTTTTCGCTATCCAGGTTTTTCTGGATCATCTCTTCCAGTGTCGATTCCCACAACGATGCAACCAGTCAGAACGAAGCGCCAACCCAGACAGACGCCTTGATAAAGTTCTATAAGTCAAGGGGTTTCGAAGTCGATTTCGTGCCACTAACAGGTTCACTGGGGTCGAATTAGAGAAATGAACACTTACGCAGCGCTTGCATTCAATTCCGGTTTCGCAAAGCGCTAACGTCTAGAATGTATAGGACTCGAATCCTCAGCTTAGGAGTATCTTCAACATGTTCCTTCATCAGTAGATCGAAAGCCGCCATTGGTATGGCACATATGCCATTTTTCAGATAATCATGATTGTAATCAAAGTGGCCAGACTGAATTTCGGAAAGGGTCTATTGGGAGTGCATATTATTTGTGCTTAATTGCTGCAATACAATTAGCAGGTGTATAAACAGCACAGGATATTAAATGTGTTAACAAAGCCTCGGTTCGTGGTGTGCATGTGTTAATAAATTTCCTCTACTCCCCCTTCCCTCCCTCCTCCTCCGGCATTTCGCTAGCAGGTAGGGTGGTCACCCTACCAGACACCGTGTTTCTTTTTATATTTATACTTTAGAGAACACTTTTTTTAATTCCCGAGGGATTCCCTCCTCCGCTTTGAATATAATATATGTGTCACTTTTTAACGGTAATCCTCCAACGCTCCATTGTGTACCCAAAAACTGTTAAGTTTGAGGAAGTGGATATTCTGCCGGCAGCCGGCACAATAGCCCGGGGAAAAAAAGTGCCGGCAGTTGTGCCCCATTAGGTCTCGTATAAAACGAATTGTGAACACGACTGCTTAAAGGTGCAGAGTAGCTCATTGGTAAGGTGCAATTGCCTTGTACGCAGCAGGACCCTGGTTCAATCCACCGTGTCCTCTTTTTTTTTTTTTTTTTTTACTTTGTTTTGTTTTGTAGAGGCATTTGTCGATATTCACGACATATCTTCTTTTTTTAGGATTAACACTGAAAAAAAAAAGTAAATAAATAAAATGAATGTTGTCGACGAAATTCTGCTATGGACTCCCTTTCCGGGGGTCAATGGAGGACAGCGAGGCTTGGACCGCCGGCGGGCCGCCGCGAAGCGGCGTATACTGATAGGCCAATTGGGTCAATATTTTTGTAATGAGCAGCCGTGAACGCAGGTGAGGGAATGTGTTAACGAGCTCCCCAGTGATACACGCGCCGTCCGAAACTGCCGGCATTTTTTCCCCCGGGCTATTTTGCCCGCTGCCGGCAAAATAGTCTCACCCTAAGTTTAGATAAGATATGGAAGTGGTCGAAGCTTGGGGAATAACTTGAGAACGACACACCGGTGGGGTGGCTGCAAATGTTCTGCTGTTCCTCTGCGGCCACTCAGATCTTTCTTTTCAGGTATCCTTCCCGCACACACTTGTAGTTCTATGTAAAGTCGTATAAATACGTCCGTCACATTTCGTCCCTTCAATGCTTTTATTGTCGGGGACAACTTTCTGGGGGACTTTAGCAACAATGAAAACACGGTGGTGCTTCAATGATGTACACTACATGTACTCTTAGTAAATTAATTGAAAACTAATCCTTCATGTTGATAACTTACAAAAACACCCCTTCATTCTCTGGCTAGCCCATTCTCTTACACTGGCTACGTGATCTGATGCTAATTATATATGGTCAGTGTTCATTACACTGGCTACATGATCTGACGCTAATTATATATGGTCAGTGTTCATCACAAACATGGGCTGAAGTTGGCAAGGCATTGAGCACGGGCTGAGCTTTAGACATCGTTCGAGTTGGGCTACCATCCATCACACGAATGTTTGGCCCGATGCTGCAGGAACGACGCGGGCCACCACGTCGGGTGCCACTGCGCCACTGGATTATCAAGGTAAGGCAGCGCAAAATAACGTGACTGAAGAAACAGGAAAGGCAAAGAAAGGCGCTGTTTTACTTTGCTAAGAAAGGTGCCCGCTGGTTACATAAGGGGAAGTCTATACTTCGTTTCAGCTTCGGTCCAGACGCAGTCGATGCTACAAGCGCGAGCATGTGGCCCAGAACAGTGCTTGCACTACACGAGCGCGCGTGCTTGGCAGGGATGCTGAAAGCCCGGAGCTCGCGCTTGTAGCTTTGGCTGCGTCTGGACCGAAGCTGAAACGAAGTATACAAGTTCCAGAACATGAAATCGTACTCACATTGCTCACCCCCCAAAACTCGCTGTCATGAAGATGGTGAAGAGTCGGAAAACAATAAACCGCCACCGTTGTCACAAGTGCAATGTTTCGCCGCTAGGCGCGCCACTGAAACAGGGTCATTTGGATCCTGCTTCAGTCGATCGTTTAACATATTATTACAATAAATATGTTTCACATATAGAGTATGGTTTCACACACTCGGAGCAGTGGGCGTGGGCGTGCCAGCGCGCCAGCGTGCCATGTGCCATCCGGCGTTTTCGCTCGCTCTCAGTACCAGCAAAATCGATACTGCATCGTTATTCGCTGTGTCCGCTGTGTCTGATGACGAGAAGAAAAAAATACTTACTGCATCGCGCTAATGTGTAGAGCAATCCACTACGAGGTGAGCAATGCAGTGCGGAGGCGTACATTATAACTCTATGACGAAAGTAGCACAACTCGCATGCGTAAAACCGAAATCGGAACTAACCGTTCACAGTCTTGTGGCCCCAGAATGCATCTGGGCGCGCTGGTATTTTGCATGACCGGCTGTTTTCAGGCGCAAGAAAACGAATTTCGAGCCACAAACTGTATTCTGGGTAGTTCGGCTTGAGGATAAAACGAGACAAACACAGCCCTTGTGTTTGTCTGTTTATGTGTCGTGTTGTCCTCGTCTCAAGCTCTTACAAATCCTTAAAAAAAAAAAATAATAAATAAATAAACGGCTTGGGTTTTTTGAGCGCGCACATGTTGCCAAAGCTCGCCGGAAGCCGATTTTCTCCCTTTGTCAGTGATCGTACGAACTACATGTCTTTCTCGCCTTCAGAACATTCACGGTGGGCCCAACTTCTCTCAACTCGGCACAAACTGCAGACGACCGACACTGCCATCACACTTTGTACCTGCATCTGTTGTCATTACCCACATGCTCTGTACCCAATCATTTTCCTGAACCAGCTGCACACGTGTACTTCTGGTATGTGTATTCAGACGGGACCGGAAGGACCTACACTTTTCTGCATTGGTGCAGGTAAATCTAACAAAGCTATTATTTTGCTACAAAGTCACATATATTTTTAATGAAGAAAAAAAAAAAAAGCAACTACTCGAAACCGAAACTTCTGCACGGAGGCTCGGAGGAGAGAGTTGCCGGAAGTCACGTGGCTATCACTCCTTACCCAGTTTTTGTTTTTCGTTCCTCCATTTCTCAGGCGCGTGAAGCAGAAGACGACGACATTGCTTGAACCGTTTGTTGTGCGACTGCTTCACATCTGTATTCCTTCCCTTTGCTATGTTCCGTGCTTAAGATTGATTGGCCACGAACCACACTTTTGAAGTAGCAGTCCCACGTCTGTCGCAACGTTGGTCAGTCATGCGCTGCCATCGTGTCGTCCAGCCTGCGGAATTTCGCCATCCCCGCTGTATTGAAAATGTTGTGTACATCTACATGCTGTGATCTGTGCAACTTTTTTTTTTTTTTTATCAACGTATTTGCAGCTTTTTGGAAGCCACAGAAAATGGGCTTCATAATATTTTTTTATTCTTAATATTGAATGTGTCTTAGACGACCCCATGACTTGTGAATACATTTGGTATGCATCACTTTGAACCACATGTGACCGTACACACTGGGCCATCAGTTCCCCACCGAAGTAACTGTATGGCCGTTCCGCCGTGGTCCCGCACCCCATTTCCCGCATCACAACCGTTGCTGTCGTCTCACTGTTTGTAATTACCGTCTCTCGGAGTTGCGTCCACACAACGGACACTACGTGCACAGGTTTATGCCGTAGTTGTGCAGGCAACGTTGAATGTCGTAGGCACCGAAACGTGAAGAGTGCGGTGCAGACGACACTTGCGCCTGGCACACGTCCGCCTTAATCCTACTGGTCGTTAGTGACTGGCCTCAGGGCACCGAGCGGCGAGCGTAGAAAGGCCCCGGATGTACATGGCGGCACTGCGGTCGTATACGGGCTCGAGGATCCGAACAGTTCAGAGCGTTCCGAAGGCCTTCGGCAAGCAGGCTTGTCTTGCGGTGTTTGCCGTCATTTGTGGCCAATGAAGTGTCACGCCGAATTAGTGTTGAATCGCGCAGCAGATGCAATGCAAGCTGCCCTGGCCGCCCGCTTCATACAGCCTATCCTTTAGTGGCGCCCTCTCGAGCTGTTGACATGGAGTGCAGCAACCGTGAGCACTTGCTGAGCTCACTACCTCTCGTCTAGTTCACGGCCACTCAAGCAATCAAGGACATGATGAAGGAGGTTATTTTTTGCAATTTTAATTTGCCTATAACTTTTAAAATAAAGCGACATTCGAGAAAAAAAAAGTTTAATTAAGTTACTACATTCAGTGCGCTCAGGTTCGGTGCAAATTAAAAACCAGTAAAAAAAGTCCTTGCAGGGACTACCCGTAAACAAATCTATCAGGTTCCTCGATCTAGCCTTAGACTTTAAAGAAGACCACGTCTGCTGGCGATACCAAGCTCGATCCTGCAAAGGGTTCCTTCCATTCGAATCCGGACACTCAAAGAACGTGAAACGTGGGGTCGCCACCACGGCACTAACATCTGCCTTAAAGAAGTCTTGCGAACACCAGATCCAGAAGAGTTTTGACACTCAGATATCCAGGTTACTTGATGCTGGGTATCCGGAAACGCTACTGGTATCAATGTGTGAAAAGATCTCCCAGAAGTTGAAGCGCGGACAGGAAGGCATCGAGCGAACAACAAAGAAAAAGAATGCAGGTCCCATAGTGGTAGCACCATATCTCCATGGCATCACTCACCGGCTAAAAAAGATCGCAGGCCGGCAAGGGGTCCAAGTGATAAGCTCTGCGCCAAACAAAGGGTATTCTATGTGCGGCAGGGTAAACGAAAACCAACGTAGGCACCAAGAGGCATGTAACATCGCACACAAAACAAGGTACGCCCAATGTCAAAAAGAGGTCATTTATAACATTCCATTAACATGTGGAAGGTGTTATATTGGGCAGACAGGGCGCTGTATCAATGATAGAACCAGAGAACATGCCACATCTCTACGAAACATGACAGCAGCAGGACACCTTGCAGCCCATTGTCGCGCATGCCAATGCGGGGCAACCCTGTGCAACGTAAGCATCGTGGGGCGACATAAAAATCAACTCGCCCGTGAACTACTGGAAGCCCTAGCCATTGAAGAAAAAGGCGAGGACTGCGTCAGTGCCCCTTCCGTTGCACTACACAACTCCGAGAAGATTTTCCTGCAGAGTGACATGAGGTCCAGGCAAAGGTAAAGGAAGAGGAAGACCGTTTAAGGGAGACAGAAGAAAAGGGATGAGAACATTCCGAAGGCAGAAAGGACAATGCATTTAAGGAAGAGAAATTTCGAATTAAGTGTAAAGAAAAAGAAAACGTAAATCAAGTGTAAAGAATTAAAAAATCTAAGTGTAAAGAAAAAGAAAACCGGAATCAAGGATTAGCAGAAAAGGAAAAAGAGGCATTATTAAATGTTGCTAGTCCAGCGGTGCGAATGTTATATTTTTTCTCTGTGTGTTTTACATGTTCAGCTGGCCCCATTCACATGGGCCTTCTCCGAGCGCTTGCCAGAGTGGGGCGTTTATAACAAAAAATACAGCCACCAGGCTCAAAAGACAAACGTGCGATTGTCATTTACGGATATTGTGGATAATATTCAACCTATTTTTGAACATGACGGATATAATTCAAACGGGCTCAAAATGCAAACGTGTGATTGTCATTTATGGATAATGTGGATCATATTCAACCTATTTCTGAACACAACAGGAATATTTCAAATTTCGTTGAAGTATCCCTTTAAAGGGGTCTAGCAAAGACAAGGACGCGGTGGCATCGCATCTCTACTACTGCATGGTGCACGTTACCCAGGCCAGCGGTTGTACTGCACGGGCTAAATTGCTCATCTGCAGCTGGGAGGTAATCATAATGTCAACTGGCCTAATGATAAATCAATTGGTTGAATTTTAAAACAAAGCAATCAAAAGAGTCTACACAATGTAACATAGGCCACATTAAAGTCAATCGGGTCAAAAGTAACTCGAAGAAATCAAGAGTAATATTATAGTGAATTCCGCTCATAATAGTCACTGAGATGTAAATTGAGCCAAATCAAAGTTCATTGGGTAAATAGTAACTCAAAGTAATCAAGAGTAATCATAATGTCAACTAGGCTTATAATAAATCAATTGGTTTAATATTCGCTCGAAGTAATAAAAGAAGCCAACAAAATGTAATGTAGGCAGTAGTAAAGTCCGCTGTGTCAAAAGTAACTCGAAGTAATCAAAAGTAATATTAAAAGGATATGAGCCCATAGCAGATAAATTGATGATATAATAACTCTAAGTAACCAGAAAAGTCACCAAAGTGTCAGTTATGCCTCATTAAACTCTTTTGGGTCAATAGTAACACAATGCAATCAAGAGTAATCATCCTGTCTGTTGGGCTCATAATAAATCAATTAGTTGATTACTTCAAAGTGATCAAAATGGTCATCACCATGTCAATTAGGCCAAATTAAAGTCAAACTGGGTCATTGGTAACTTAAAGTAATCAAAATAGTAATCATTTAGTCAATAGCCTTATAACAAATCAGTTGGTTGAATATTAACTCAAAGTAATCAAGCCATCAAAATGTAATGTAGGCCGAATTAAAGTTCATTCGTTGAAAAGTAACTCGAAGTAATCAACAGAGTAATCATCATGTCTATTGGGCTCATAATAATTTAATTGGTTGAATATTAGCTCAAAGTAATCAAAACTGTCATCATAATGTCAATTAGGCCAAATTAACAACTGGGTCAAAAGTAATCAAAATGTCCATTGGACCACATTAAAGCCTATCGGTCAAAAGTAATTCCAAGTAATCAAAAGTGTAATAATAATGTGAATTGAACTCGTAAGAGATGAACTGGTTGTATACTAACTCTAAGTAATCAAGACAGTCCCCAAAATGTCAATTAGGCCAAATTAAATTTAATTGGGTCAATAGTACTCAAAGTAATAAAGAGTAATAATGTCAATTGTGCCCATAATAAATAATTTGTTAGAATATTACCTTAAAGTAATAACAAAGCATCATAATGTCAATTAGACCATACTAAAGCCTA